GATACAAACACACAGAGGAATCCTTCAAATGTAGCTCACTTCGTGTTCATGTGTTGTCATGCATTTACTTCTATTGCTAACAGCATGAGCAGTTAGCATACTAGCAGTTTCACTGCTAAATGATGCTAATCTTTAACATCGTTTTTCTAAAATTCCATATCAAAGATTAGTATCAGAAAATATCGGATTAAAGATGTTAGTAGTCTCTGGAGAAGGATGGATGATTGTAATTTTTACCTGAAAATTAAGTATTTCTTTATGATTCCAGTATAAGACCTAAAATAGCTAAGGACTGTATTTTTTTTTTTTTCTTCCAAAAAGCAAAAAAAAAAAAAATCTGATACTAACAGTGTCACAGCACGCCTGCCTTCTCTGTATCTGTATGTGCATTTTAACAGCCTGTTTTCCAGGATGCCTGACTTGTTTATGTTTTGTTGTCTTTGTTGTTTTATTTCGGTGGTTGTTGTCGTTTGCAGTGCTGTAACCTGCTACTAACAGACTGACTTTATGGCTCTCTTTGAACGGACAGCTCAATCGGTGCTTCGTCCTGCCGTGACAAGTTCCTTATGTGTCTTTTCTTCGTATCTTCATTTCTCTCCTGTCCTCAACCTCTAACCTTTTCCTCCCTTTTTTGCTCCTCTCTGTATTCTTCCTGCTCCTTGTTTTGTGCATGCTGTGCGTTGTGCTCAGACCCGGGCTCTCCTAAGAAATGCAGAGCTCGCTTCGGCCTCAACCAACAAACGGACTGGTGCGGTCCCTGCAGGTGTGTACCAAACATCAGCACTAACCCTCTCCGTAGATCTGCAGCACTGTCACACATAAATCATTTCTCCTTTTATTAATGGTCCATTCATCAGTGCATCACTTCCCTCCCGTAGAGTCTTTCCTATAGCTGCTCTGGATATATAATAATACTGAGTTCACAATAACTTTAGCTTTATCCACTCTTTACCTTTAGCCATTTTGATAGTGTCACATTAGTTAAAGATGCTGCTATTAAGTTCAAATTCAGTTATTCCATCCATTGACGAGCACTGTATGAGATGATGTCTGCCTGAAGCCAAGCTCTGCCTCTGAATGATGTTTGTAATCTGCATGCTGTCTGTCTCTAACTTTCCGCTCTGCATATTGATGCAGTATAACTATTAATATATAGGTGGAATGTGACTTAGATACAGTTTTACACATGAAAAGGATCCGGATATACCAGAAACCTGCAGACTGTGCCATTATCTTCCTTCCATATTGTAAAGAATGACTGTGAGGAGAACTGTTCCAGGATCAGTAGTTCTATCAGATCTAAAGACTTTAGATTAGACGTCAGCTTTGAGGAAAAACATCATGACACAGATGAATTCATTTGTGACAAAAAAATCCTCTGCGTTAATGGTAAAAGATGTTTTGTCTGCGCTCTAATTCAAGTGCACTGCATCACCCTCAGGCTCTTTTTGTGTTTAAAGGGTAGAATCAGTCAATTGAAAAAAAGCTTTCAAAGTCCCCTGATCTCCCTGAAGTTGCATCTATGTAAGTCCACTTTATCAGCATGAATGCAGTAGCATGTCAGTAATAACCAGCAGCAGGCCTGTCACCACCTCAGACCGCTCTGTCTCAGTCACAGCAGGTTTTTACAGTTAGACAGCAGTCGACAGCTTCTGCAGGACTCAGGAATCTGTGTGGTTCTGTAGAAAAAAAAAAACCCTTCTACCACCACAGCACTGTGTCAACCCTGCTGTCTTCCACACCATCACGTCATGGAAATCGAAGTGTGTATGTGTGTTTCAGTTTGAGAGAACAAGGGGGGGGGGGGTGAATGTGGTTAGAGCAAATCCTCATCGTCGCAGCTCAACACACACTCCCTGCAGCTTTGCATTTTGACGACATTCTCATGCCCATCTGCTTGAAACTTTCTCCATTCATGCAATGTGGTGACGAGCGCCTTTTGATGGTGAACTCTGACATTTAGAAATCACTTTCTACTGCACTCTTCTCTGTCTAAATATGGCCTAGCGCCCTTCCTTGCGGTTCAGCTTGGTGAGTCATATCATATTCTGGTAATGATAATGGGATCCTGTTAACTGCTTTGATGCTGTGCTCAGCAGTACAATAACACCTCACAGCATGTCACTCAGGTCGACAGTGAGTTTGGTGCAGATGAGGGGAATAGTGCAAATGAGGTCGCAAAAGAAAACCTGCAACACCTCTCTGGATTATCGTTTTTTTTTGATACAATAATACTTTTGTGATGCGCGTTATGTGAAGGACAAGCAATATAGGACATAAATATCAGTCAGAAATATATATTGGGACGCTGATGACCTAGCAGGTAGGATGCACCCCGTGTACGGAGGCTGCAGTCCTCCAAGCGGGGCGACCCCGGGTTCAAGTCCGACCTGCGGCTCCTTTCCGTCATGTCATTCCTCTTTCTCTCCTGATTTCTTACTCCATACAGACACATAAAATAATATTGTTATAACCAGAATGGTTCAACACTTTGAGAGATGTTCCAATAGTAGGACCATTCTCTTTAGTCTCTGTTAAAGCAGCAAGAGTCTGGAGGCCTTTAGCTTAGCTTAGCATAAAGACTGAAAACAAGGGGGAACAGCTAGCCTTGTCAGTCCTAAAACATGTCCTAATGTGCTAGTAGGTTTATGTGTTAGAGGTCCTAATAGAGCGTTTTCCTCCTTCTTCCTTATTACATTTAGATTAAAACCATTTTATAAATATTGTGTTTTTTATGTTTTGTTCTGTTCAATTTTATAAAACAAGTCCACTCATTTGCAACAACAGCAGTCTATTTAAAGCTTAGGTCTTTTCATGAAATTATAAGTCTGTAATTGAATTTTCCTAAATAGATTGACCGTGTAGAGGACATTAACCCTTCATATACACATGTGCATAGTGTGACACTAATACTTCTGTGTTAATCATTATAATCATGTGTGTCCATGTTCATACAACATGTGCATGCTGCATCTTCACTGAAGCCTGCTGACGTTTACCATCCACACTTTATTCACAGATAACTCTCTCTGACTGTCCTTAGGAGGAAAAAGAAGTGCATTCGCTACCTTCAAGGAGGAGGCTGTCCCAGCCCATCTTCTTCAGATTTAAGTGCTATAGACTCTCCCCCCTCCCCCTCCCCCAATCGCCATCGTCTCTACCAGCATCAACGGCCACTCTCCCCGGGCTGCTCCACGCCTCCCACCTCCCCGTCAACACGCCTCCCCTTGTCTCCGCCAGCACACATGCACTCACACACACGCCTGCCCCAGCAGCAGTCTGTGAGCAAGCGCGGAGACCACCGACATACCGCAACCAAACCCCCCCACACACACCTGGAACTGTCCAGCAAGCAGACCCACAGCTCGACGACGGCGCTGTCAGCCGCCAAGGCAGCAGGACTTTCTCTTAAAGTGCTAACAGAGACTCAGTGATCCATCAGGTCTTCTTACATCACTGACCCTCTTCACTTCAGCTTCCTCCAGAGCCGTACAGATCGACTTCCTCCTCACAGTTTACGATATTCTGTGTTCAGAGGGTGAATCCTCCAAGTGTCTGTGGTTCTAGACCAAATAAATCGACAGGTCGATAAGGTTCTATTCCTTCTCAAAGTCATCTTCACAGATCGGTCCTGCCTTGGAGACAGCTCTGCCTCATAAATCATTTTACAAATAAGCCATAGCCCCACCCCCCCCGATGCTCCCGTTAAAAGTTAACCCTGTGCTTTCTCTTCCGTGACAATCACAAACAAAGAAGTTTTTTTAAAGAGCTCTTTGCTTCATTAACTACAGGGGTATGGAGTTCTCAGAGCTAAAACAGCATCAAGGTGAGGCCTGTTGTAGTGTTTTACCTAAACATTTAACTCTAAAAATCTACAACTATCATTCAGACCAAACCTGAGGGAAGCGAAAACCAGCAGAGCCAGCCTGACCAGCAGAACCCCCGCTCTAAAGAGATGAATGAATAGACTTTTTACTCATCATTTTGTTAATCTTCAGTTTCATTACATGTCCGAACATTTTATAAATATGTGTGCATTAGCTTTACAGAATAAAAAAAACATGTAACAGGTTAAAAAAAAAAAAAAAAGTCCAAATCACACAAGTCAGAGCATAAAATACGTTAAGTTACTTTCTTTTCTAGGCACTTTCAGGCTGTCAGTACTTTGCTATATCAATCGATTCCTGTTTGTTCAGCTTCCTCTGAAGTTCTGTTATTTCTGTTTGACTCTCATATACATTTTTAAAGGTCAAATGTTTTTCTGTTGGAGAAAAAGAGTTTTTGTTTTTCTTTTGACTAAACATTTTGCAGCTCCGTAAACTTCTGAGACCAAATGGGTACTATTATATTGCATTGTGTTGTAAAGTTTTATAAATGTTGGAATTCCCTATTATAATTAAACTTTTATATGTTTTTATGAAAAAAAAAATGAAACTAAAAAAAAAAAAAGATTTTAGTTTGTATCATTTCTTAAAGCAAATACATTTAGTGTTTGTCTTTGGTGCAGAATTAAAAAAATTTCTTTGGTCAAGTGTTACAGCAGGATCGTATCAAAGATCTCTTTGTGTTCTCAATCTGTGCATGTTCAAACTTCAATGTAAAGAAAAAACAAGGCTTTCATTTACTGTTCTGCTTGCAGCTTCAAACTCAACTGACAGCACTGTGAGCGAACTGTAGGCCGAGTTCTTGTTCAGCAAAACCGTTTCCCTCCAGCAGAGAGAGCTCTTGGGCTAGAAATAGCTTGTTTTTGTTTTTTTAGGATGTTCACGTCAGTAGTGGCAACAACTCCAAGATGTCTTTTGTATTTTTTACGCCTCTGATGTATTTCTTGTTTTTGTTTGGTGTATTAAAAGTGTTTTGAATATCTTGTTCATGTCTATTGTAGTTAAAAAAACAAACAAGGACATTTCAAGGGTAATTACTTCCAAGACAAAAACGGTTTCAGAATAAAATACTGGTTATTTGAAAACAAAATTTCAAAACAAAAATGACAAAGCAACCTTTTTTTTCAGTTTTATTGACTCCTTCAATATGTTTGATCATCTCAAAAGCCAGCATCAGAGTTGATCGGAGAAGTTTCCAATTCAATACAACGTGAATCAGCATGAACCAATTCAGTGTCCACAGACAAGCATCTGTAGTCCTCAACACAGAATCATCTAATCAACTCAAACTTCACTTCTCCTTCAGACACTCAACCCTCTGCACGTTTTCTTACAGAACCGATGCATTTATAGAGCAAAAACTAAATATTCATTTCCATTGTCAAAAAAGCCATTTTATTTCATCCGTTAACCTAAAAGAACACAAACACGTCCAGTAAAAAAGACAACCGCAGTGATTAATAATTGGGGGAAATATGAAAGAAGTGACATATCTTTTAGGGTACAAAGCCATGAATCCAGAACTATTTTTAAACATGAAAATAAAACACGTGTGTGGTAACCGAAAAGAGCTTTTCTTTATTTAAATTAAGACAACACACAGGCAAGTTAAAATGGTCATGCTGTTGGTGGGGTGATAACTGGGGGTCAAGGGATGGGGAGGGGAAGGGGGGCTGTGATGTGGCTCTAAGTACACTAAATGTAAATATTGACAAGTATGAACAACGCCAGTGCAACCAGTTAGCAGGGACAATTCCTTTTCAGTGTGGTGGTGTTGGCAGGATCTCCTCTTTACTTCTCTTCACACCACTGGTTCTCTTTGCGTACCTGATGACAAGAGAGTGGACACACGATTAATGTTGTTTCTGCTATTGTCTTTGACATCACTTTTGTAAGGGCTATTTGTTTTAAGACAAACAGACGATGGAATAACTACCTGGGCTTCCTCCTCCTCTGTAAAATCATTTTTGATGTTGAAAGTCTTCCTGATCTCCTCTGGGGTTTTGCCTTTGATCATGTTAGCCACCGTCTTGCAGGTGACATCTAACAGGCCTTTGATGTCCAAATAGTTGGCGGCCTGAAAAGGGACAACACAACCGGGAGACATGAAGAGAAGGAGAGCAGTGAGAAAGAAAGCTGACAATCGAAGAATTTCATGGAAAACAAAAAATGGTTTAAAGTGCATGAAGAGCAAGCTACACTGTCGTTGTGGTTTGTAGTGTCTACATTGTAGAAGGGGAATGACGATTTTCTAGTGTCCCATTCTTGTTTGTCAGCATTCAACACTTTAGCGAAAAACAAGCATGTACAAAAAAAGCACTGAAGTGAAACAGCAAGAGTCGTCCATCTGTGTAGGGAGAAAGAAATGACAGCAACATCTGTTTGTGGAGTTAAAGGTTTGATTTCAGTGGGGTGTAAGTTCTAAAGAAATGATCAGCAGGTTTAAAAAAAAAGTTCATGTAAAGGAGTTTTTAGAAAGTCTTCTAGCAAAAACAGCCAAAGAATAATAAGGCATTGTTTCCCGCAGCGCTTTATAGTTAAGGCGGCCGCCTGAACAACAGTTGTCTCCTGCGTTATAACATCCAACAGCATCTCCATTTGGATCAGGCCCCCACAGTTCGGGTAAATGTGACTTTATCTCTGTTTTGTCATATTGAACCAGCTGATGGTTACGGGTGACAACAACAGAAATGTATCATCAGTAACGTAACAGCTGCAAACTTAGACAAACAAGCTTCGTTACAGAGCACTGTGTTCGGTTACTGGACGTAACTCCAGTTCTATGAGTCATGTGTAGCCCTCTAACGGTCTTCGTTATTAGTTTGGTAACAAATACTGTTAATGAAATGATGCCGCTTTTCATATAACAGTCAGTTAATACAGTCAGTTGTACTCAGAAGTGCTTTGTTATCGTAAATTACCTTTCTGTAGATTCATATAATTTTTCATTTCACTCTGATGATTCGATTCAGGACAAATGGTATATATAAAGAATTTTCGGAGAGTGGGTTCACTGCATTTAACATCGGACTATGTTGAGTCTTTTGTAAACTGTCTTGAAAGATATATGAGCAAAATTCTCAATAATATTCTGACATTGATTTCAAAAATGTATCTCTGCTCTACTTCTGAGTGAGCCTACACTGAAATCCCCTCAGCTTATACATTAAAAGAAGACCCCTGTTCAAAAAACATCAACCTTTAAACTTGTATCTGGAAACTCATTATGAACACATATCATAAACATCATTTGATGAGCACTGCTAGACTTCTGCTTTTACGTCACAAAAACTCCCTCCTAGCTAGTCCACAATCCCTGCCCATTTGCATCCTCTCGCTTTGTGTATAGAATTACACTGAAAACAGCAGGAGGGGGTCAAACAACTCAAATGACATTCACTGCAACTTGTGTTTCACTTCTTGGAAGCACATTGCAATCCAACAGCTATTTCCCAATCACTCCCAAGCACTTCTTGGTAACCTTTCAAACTGCCTCTTTAAATCCCGACCTTTTCAAGAGCAGTTGCCCCCACACTACCGATCTTCCGGCTGTTGCTAAGCAACTTTAAAATATCCCTGTTAACCAAATAAAAACAAATCAGGACTTTGGCACAGCAATAAATGAAATCAACAACTGGGTAAGACACGTGCAGATTCAACTTCACGATGATGGGTCATAAAAAGGTACAATGAAAAATAGAATATCCACAACGAAAACTTGATATGAAAATGTATCAGGACTCCAAAGAACCAGTTCAAGTACAAGGTGTGTTCTTCCAGTGAATCTATTTATGCTTTAAACAGTCAAGAACTGTCAACCTGCAGAGATTCTTTTAAAGGTTTGATGCAGGAGTATTAGAAAAGCAATGTGTCTCTTCACGTCAATGACTAATGTGTATTTATGTCATAATCTTGAATACAATCACATAGTTATTAGAGAAAATGTCAATGAAATTAAATTACATTCATAACAAAGTTCTGATTTATGTTTTTATACGTCACGCTACAGCACTGGTTGTCTTAACAAAAACAAGGATTTCATAAAAACATCTTAACATTCTTGCTTTTGGTCTTGAGCTTTGTTGCAAGTTGTAGTGAACACCTGTATGTGTACATCTTTAAAAATGTATATTATAGGTTCTCTATAATTAATGAAAGCAGCTGATCAAAACCAATGTGAAGCATCAAATAATATGGTTGTGTTTTTGGTTAAAGTTCAAATGAAGGATGCAAAGCTTGTCTTCAAGTTGAAGTGTAAACGTGTTGTTCGCTGTATTTACCAGAATGAGTTCAAACAAGGTGCCTTGGTCCACTTTGAGGAACTCCTGGTCCCAAACAGGAATGTCATCTGTTCTTTTCTCCTTGTTCTCATCATCCTCAGGAGGAGGAGGGTCATCTTTGTGATGAGTGCACCACTGAATCACCTGAAACACAAACACACACGAGTCAAATACACAGTTGAGGACAATGATGAGAGCTCCATTTCAAACTGGAGCACAACGTTTAAAAGACTTGGCTAGTATTGGTTTGTTAACTTTATTAGAAGTGTAAAATGTCTTCCATCAGCAGGGGTTCCAGTTCGCCAACTGAGTCATGACCAGAATTCAATTAAAGCCATCGTATGTGAAATAACTGCAGCTCTAACATATGATATTGAATCTGTAGCAGAGTCATGAAAAAAACAGACTTTCAGCCCTCTGAATCCACAAATACTACTGGCAGTTTGTTGACTAGGAAAAAATAGTTATCAAGAAAAATGGGGCAAAAATAGCTTACGCTGTTGATTGTGTTACACAAACAACATACATAGGATTCTCATTTTCACAGAGAGTGAAGACAAACTAACTAATTCTCTATTTCCTAGTCATCTTAGAATTGTTTTGGCGGGGGGTTGTACAACATTCACATTAACATGGGTGGACTACTTGATACAGTGGAAACATTTTTACTATACTGCATTACAACTCTAAAGCTCCATGAACAATAGTCTCCACGTTTAAGTTCACCTCACCTCAAAACAGTTTCAAATCAGGTACTTCATCGAAAAGTATAAACTGGCTGGATAAGACATGACATGTGAATCGTCATTGGGTGACTGTGGTACACATTTGACCTCAAATTGTCTAAATGCACAGACACATTATGAACAAACTTGGAAATCACCAAGTCATGACTTGTAAGTGGAAGGCCAAGCAGAACAACACCCAACTAATGCAGAAAGATTTAGTGAGACCCTAGACTCTTTTTCTTAATTTGGACAGACCGTCTGTAAATATTGTGTAATCATGAATCTACAACCCAACATAAACAAAAGTATTTGATCTGCAAGACCTATTCCAAGCTGAAGTTACCTTAGCCCTCAGAGTGTGCAATTTAGAAATGCTCATGTGAATTCTGCTGTCACAACATAAGTCATATGTGATGGCAACTGGGTGATCTGATTTGTTTCACGTGTTCTCTACCTTCTTAAGGATGGCTGCATTCACATTAGGGAGGGGAACTGGATCATCGTCTCCTTCATCGTCCATTCCCAAATCTGTGGCAAAATGTCAAATAACGTGTCAGACATCAGTCACCAAGATATGGAAGCCCTAAACGGACAAACATCCCTATAATATTTGACCATTTTCCCCCTGATTATCAATACACTGAGATTTTTTTTATTTTTTTTATTGTTAATCTTGTCATCTCAAGATACAAATTCAGGTTTTCCCTCGGGATCTTGAGAAATTACCGTAAATCATATTAATCATGTCCACTTAATGGCTCCCCATAGAAATACTCAATCCATCAAACTTCATTTCAGTAAACAGAGAACTATAAAGTCACATCTGTGAAGAAAAACAAGACATCTTCTAAAAAAAGTGTGTGATGATTTAAATGTTTACCTTCTAACATGGTCTTAATAGTGACAGACTGTTTGGCGATCTCAACATCGACCTCGAAGATTTCCCCATCAGAGCTCTGTAATTTTATCGTGGGCATTATCTGTAGGGAAGAACAAACACGTTACCATCAGCTACATGAACATACACAGACACAATGTGATTATCCAGTAATCTTTCATTGACAGCTGACCCTGATTACACGTCTGCTGATTGCTAACGCTTCAGCTAGCCAAGCTAAAATCGGCTAGTAAACAAACTTACCTGTTATTTCGCCAAGCTACACACCATGAAGGGTAACTCGCAGTATTTTTGCGAACTTAGTTACGTCTGCTAGTTAGTAAGGTCAACCTAACTACACGCTAAACAACGACACATTCAGCTAGCCACCTGTTAACATGGGCTAAACGAGTTTGCTACTGGGGGGGGGGTGCCTTAAAGCAAACGAAAGTGAAGGTTTTTAAGGTATATAATACGGGTCAGCATGTTAACGCTATTTATTATACACGCTTCCTGGGTTTTCACAACCATAAAAACCCTACAAATGTGGTCACATTGTATGCTAATGAGGTAGCTAGCGTTACCGTGCACAATGCTAGCTACTTAGCTTGCCGTTAGCGCCTAACGATGTCAGCGAGGCCTCTTAGCAACCACAACAAGGCTATTCAAACTAAAATGAAAACAAAACGTTAAAAAAAAACCTATTTTATAAAAAGGTGAACACGTTTTTAAATAAATACATTCAACTTAGTGCAGCTACGTACCGTATTTTTTTTTTTTAACTCAGATCCAGAGGTGAAATTCCTCTGTGTTCAACAGCAGGGCCGGGACAGACACGGAGGCACCGTAAGCGGCTAGAAGTCTCTGGATCGACCTGGTGCCGCCCGGAGCTCCTCGATCGCTTTGTCAGAGGCTGGAGGAGAAAAAAGGGGGCGGGGACGTATGAAGGCTGCTTTTCCTGTTTATCTAACCCCGTTTTAATATGTTATAAACCCTTAAAACCGCAACATATGACTCCTAAATTATTAACCGATTAAAGCGATCATTGCAAAAAAAAAAATGTTAAGCCTCATGGCAGTTTTAGGTTTTTTTTTTTTTTTTTTAGTAATTTCTTGAATGTAATATTAAATGTGTAGATGTTTTTAGTTATAAGCAGTTGGTTTATCTTTTCGTTAAAAAAAAAAAAAAACCTTAATATTGTTACAGATTATTTTTTTAGGGCATATTTTAATATGTTAAACCCTTAAACCGCAACATATGACTCCTAAATTATTAACCGATTAAAGCAATCATTGCAAAAAATATTAAATAATATTATATAATAACATAATATTGTTACAGATTAGTTTTAATTATATTCAGCTTTGGGGTAATTATATTGCTTATTTGTTATTTAAATACGGGTATATGACGGGTGTTAACAAGGTTTGGGCATTTAATTTAGGTTTGCTTGTAGTTTAGAAAATTCGCTTAAGCTATATGTGCTTGAAGTGCCATCAATGTAAATTAACTGTTTTATTCAATGCAGTAAAAAAACAAAAGAGGATTAATAGTGTGAGTTAATTTTTAAGTTACCATGAGGTGGCGCCTTTTCCTTATCATAGAGCCAGTTTTATGGTGCATTCAAGTGCTCCTCGAAGGTTTTCCCTCCCTCAGGAAGAGCATAAAGATCACTATACTTCTACATTTTGCTTCACTTATACACAATACTTTAGCTGTAGTTGGTAATGATAGACAGCATGCACATTTGGTCAAATGTTTTAGTGTGTTTAAGGTTAAACAAAAATAAATAAGAGAAAACTTAATTCATATAATTTGGGCCTTAAGAAAAAGCCCATAACATAATATATCCACAAGTTGTCATCATTTTTGCTACAAAAAATTTGCACGAATTGAACGTCATGGAAATTTTGATCTTTCAGTAATTTTGACCTTTTGGGGTCTTAAATTTTTATTTCAGCTGTTTTAAAAATAGATTTGGTTACCATTTAAAGCAACTATTCCAAGTTAAAGATAACAGATAGTAAAGAGGAAGAAAGCCATCACACTTGGAGAACTGTTGCCTACCTACAGCCCAGGTGGTCGACCTTTCTCCTAATGTGTAAAAACTAAACTCAGTTGGTTCCATTCAAACAGTTTAAAAGAACCTGTGTGAACCAGGCAATAATACCAGTCATCATCTTACTCCAGACAAAGAACAACAAGGAAAACAGCACAATCTTTTCAAAGATGCCACCTTTGTCTTTATTATTCAAATGGTTGGGTTAATACAGACTCTGTAGTTCAGAGGGCGTCAGTGAGTTGATGTGAACACATCTTTCATATACACCAAGTTGGGTGACTGCAAATAATGAGTTGTAGTTGAAAGTTACACAGAATAAACAAAAATGTCTCTGTAAAGCTGGCCTGATGGGGGCTTTATTTCTAATTTAAAAAAAACAAACATCTGTAGTGTGAAATAATTTTCATTTTTTGAGATATGATACATTTCTTTAGATTTACAAAAGTGCAAAAAGATCATATTCAGATCTCCTAAATATAAGCCATGGCGCGTGGGATTCAAACAGCTGCATTTCATTTCCTTCTTGGACCTCAGTGCCATCTGTCCAGCTACACAGGTAGAGGATGTAATGATTATGGCACACATCTTTTGGTCCATTCATAGACAAACAGACATTGTTTTCCCTAAATGCTTAAACAGGTCGTCGTGTGGATATACAATGTGCACTGCAGTGTAGCCCTCCCACCCACCCAGTGTCCCACCCTCCCCTCCTCAGTCATGTTGTTCGGTTGGAAGTCATACATCATGGCAAAACTGGACCTGACTGTACAAGGGTCCGAGGTCAGAGATCACAGGAAGTAATCTGGGGTGCGGCGAGTGACATGTGGCTCTCCTCTGCGGGGGGCGGGATCAAACTGCAAGCTGGTAGAAGAAGAAATAATAAGAAAAAATTAGATTTCTTCACTAATCTCTTTTAAGGCATACATGTTTCATGCCTAGATATCTGCATTGTTTCAAATAATGAATACATATCACCAACTTAAAACTTTAATCATGCAGCCTTTCGATTCACTTACAATGAATATTTCAGGGTATCGTCTAGTTCCATGATAGCTGCCTGGTTGCCACAGCGGTAGCAGTAGTTGGGAGCACTAAATATTGTCACTACATTCCTCTCATGGCACCAGTTGTAACCCTGGAAGAAGCAGATCGTCACTCATCAGAGATTTCTTATTCAACAAAATAAAGCTAATTTAAAGTTAAAACCTGATAGATAATGTTAATGTTGCTGATAGAACTGTTCATTCTGTTGTTTTCTGTCACGGTGATGGAAGAGATTCACTTTGTAAGGTTCCAAACCCCAGGCTAAAGCAGAAGATGTTAAGTAATTCTGCATATATACAGACACCCACCTCCATAACCAGCTGGTGGGCACGGGACACCAGTGTGAGGCGGTTGGCGTGGTTGAAAGTCTCGGAGATGTCCTGGCCAAAGGTGTAGCCGGCTCCTCGAGGGGAGATGCCCCAGCCACCTCGGTCATCAGGGTCTGACCATAGCAGGTCACACATGGGACCCTGCAGAGGACAAAGATGGAAAGAATGAGTACAGCTCTGCTATTGAGTCCTCCATCACATCGCTTTCACTCGACTACTTTATGAACAAAGACTTTTTCAAGGTGGTGGTTTCAGGTAGCAGGTAGAATTCTTTCTTTTTGAAAGTAAACATAAAATCAAGCATGTGTTTACCTCATGTGGTACTTCCTGTAAACGGTCCAGTGCTCTGATGTGATCCAAAGTATCTATGGACGGTGACAGGCCTCCATGGAGGCAGAAAATCTGAAGGATCACGGAGAAAAAAAATCTCAGTTCAGTTAAAAAAAAAACATAACATTCTCCACAGCGGCCGTATAAAATCAAACACATTTTTCCCGAAACTCTTATGGTCACAGGTTGTTTAAATAATGTTCAGTAGTTGCTCAGCCTGTATTAATCAGATCTATTCTCACCTGAGAGTCTACCAAGGCAGTGAGGGGCAAATAGTCGAACAGGTCTGTGAAGTACTTCCAAACATTGGCGTTTCCATATTTCCGTAGGCACTCGTCATAGAAGCCGTACACTTGTGTGATCTGTCTGCTCTCGTGGTTCCCTCTAAGGATTGTGATACGCTCACGAAAGCGTACCTGAAGCATGAGCAAAGAAAAGGCTGTTAGTCACTCTTTTTTTTCTTGAGAGACACTGCGTATTAAATTCTAGTTTTGGGATAAATTCAATGTGTATGGACTTTTGAAAAAGGACTTACTTTAAGTGCTACTAATAAAGTGACGGTTTCTACAGAGTAGTACCCTCTGTCTACGTAGTCTCCCATAAACAAATAGTTTGTGTCTGGAGATTTCCCTCCGATCTTAAACAGCTCCATGAGATCGTGGAACTGGCCGTGTACGTCCCCACACACTGTCACCGGACATCTCACCTCCTGGACATTTGACTCTTTGGTCAGGATCTCCTTTGCCTGCAGAAAAAAAAAAAAAAGACCCGTTAGATTGTAGTTCATGCCACAAAAAAAAAAAAAAACAGAGAAGTGTGACATGAAATGGCTTGAGGAGAGACGAACACCGAACATGGAATTAAAACGTGTCAAAAGTCAGCGTTCCACAGTTTATATGTAGCTACCACTTGACTGAGTTGAGTTGATTGAAATGCAGGATAAAGCCACATGATCCCGTCATGTCAGGAGATGCAAGTTATAATATTCTATTTCTCTCTTTGTTTTCTATCATTATTCCAAGAAAAGTTTCATACCAACAAAACTACATTCAAATGCTGCACAGTGACAACAACACAACCCCCACCATGATCTTTCCAAGAAAATAAGCCCTTCCTCTGTGTGTGTGTGTTTGTGTGTGTGTCTAGCTTCCTGTGGGCCTGCTTTGCGGTCTGCTCTGATTGCACAGCTTCAGTTCGTAGAATCAAGGAGCGGTATGCTCAAGAAGTGGAGAACAGAATGTAAAAAGGCTGCTGATGTATTTGGAGGGAGGACTTTGTTTCCTCAGATTAATGCTGTAAATGGTTTTTAAGTTATAGCTTGGAGAGCTTTGGCAGCACAACAGTCAGACTCTACACCCAACCGTTAAAACTGTTACAAGTGATATTCTTGGACAGTTACCCAGAAGTTATGATGAGGTGGACTTCAAACTCTCTGCAGAAGCAAATGAGTCATTGTGTGCATCAGCCAAAGCAGGTACATCAAGGATACTCTGAATCATTCTGCTTTAACTGTATAGTCGTTTTGTATCTGTTTTTATACCTTAAGGCTAAGCAAACATTGTGCCACATGATTAAAAAAAAAGGATTTGAATGACTATGCATCTGTTATGTGTACTTGTAATGTGTTGCTAGAGTACTCAATAAAAATAAACCTAAAAATAGTAGACGAACTCTTGGGTAGTACTCCAAACATTAAGTCTGGAGAGACCCACTACAAGGCCTATTCCTGGAGTCAGTCTGGCTTTGGCAGGCTGGTCAGACTGAGGGGTCAGTCAGCTGGATGAGCTCTTTTAAGGAGCTTTGAAGCCAACAAATCCTCAGGCTGAGGGAGAAATGCTCCGAGCTGAATGACCACCAGACATGTCTTAAGTGTGGAGAGAGAGAGAGAGAGAGAGAGAGAGAGGGAGAGAGAGAGAGAGGGAGAGACATCCGCAAACTCAGAAGAAGGTGAACAATTTAAAAAGCAAAAAGAACAAAAGTTAAGACTAACTTTTGGTCATTCATTTCACATGATTGTTTTCATATTGTGCTGCAAAAACCTGACGTCTCTCCACTAAGTGGGCTGACCTTTTACCTATAGCTCCATTTTCAGCACGACTTATCTTTTCACGCTGTTGCTTTTCGACAACAAATGCGAGCAGCATGAGAAA